CTGCACGGCTTGCTGTCTGCCCTGGACGATGGGCAGCCCTCATCTCCAGGCCTTGGATTACACGAGTCTATTCCCGTTCTCTGGGGGGAATCACATTTGATCCAGTCCATTCTCAGACTTCTCTCTTACTTATTTTGAGCTGAAATGGGATACTCTGACTTCCCATCAAGCTTATTCTGGTCCCTGCGTGGACCACACCAGTCACTCTCTCGGCCCGGGCAATCTAGAGTGGTGAGAGAGGGGGGCTCATTCCTAATGATGTCGTCATGCCATCCAAGAGCATTAGCTTTTCAGCAACCACATCAGAAGCCCTAGTTTTACCTGGGCAGCTGATAAGCCTTGTCTTTGTGTGGAGGGCTTTCTGTAGCTTCACCTCGGAGCTGCTCTGCTATGCGAACTGACATTGAGCGGGCGAAGTTTGCTGGAGCCTTGGGTTTAGCTTCTGAGTGAGATTTCTAGCCTAATCCAAAGGCTTACACTGTAAAGCGAAAATAGATAGCCGGGCCCTATCAGCTGGCCACTCCAGTGGAGAGTCACAGTCTCAGACACTCACGGGGCCAGGTCAGCCCTGTCCAATAGGGTGACCATGAGTCAGAATTGACTCGATGGCAGTGAGCTTGGTCTTGGTTTTTGTGACCTGTCAACTAGACAGACCAAGCCCAGAGATGCTCGACACCGGCCAGAAGTCAGACAGCAAGCCCGCCAGCAGCAGCCAGCTGTGGGGCCAGAGCCGAGGCCTGTTGGGTGCCCCCAGGCTGTTTCTAACATGCCGCTTGAATTCCCGTTTCCATTCCTGGAGCCAACCGCTGGGGCATGCTCTTGGCTTCTGAAAACATGAAGGGAAACCTGTCAGGCTTTATAAGGTGTAAATTCCTCTTGGCAAGAGAAGGTAATATAAACATCGCTCTATGCCACTGGACAGCTGGGAAACTGGGCTCTCCCCCACTGACAGGTTCCTGCCACTTCTAAGAGCTCTTCCCCTCTGAGGGCCACGGCCTGAGAGCCGGGCTTTGCTCTGCAGCCTCACAGCCCACCTGCCACACCTGCCTATCGACTGCCCCCTTATGTTAAGACACTGATTTTAGAGATGCAAGGATGCTGTTCCATATGATAATTAGGAGGGAGCCTTCCAACGACTACGCAGTGTAACTTGTTGCAAGAGGCAGGAGCAGCGCCAGCTTCTCCATTAGGAGGATCAAGAGGAATTTCCTAAAGGTCTATTTCTTTATGGTTTCATATTTCACTGGAGGTTTTTAAAAGAAGGAAGACTGACCAATTAATCATAAATCAGCAGAGCAGCTGTGCGCCCTCCTGGAACTGCTCGTGGGTAGAGATGAAACACTGTGTTTGGAAGTTGGTCCTTCCAGGAAAAGAAGAGTCACTTGGAACCTTGAACGGCCGTGAGCTGAAGGCGCCCTTCCTTCTCCGGCCATTGGTCTTCAGCGTTCCCCCACACGGTGGTCAGGCTCCTCCGGCCACCACTTCTGGCCTGTCTCTTCTTCAGTCAGAGCTGCCATGACTTCAACCTGCAGGTAGGCGCTTGTCGGTGTTGGAGTAGGCCGAGCGAGGCTTCTTGTAAGGATACCCAGGATCTCTCGGCCACATCTCAGGGGCAGACTATGGGGCAGGCAGGCAGGCCTGTCTCTCAGCCACATCCTAGGGGCAGACTGGGGCAGGCAGGCAGGCCTGTCTCTCAGCCACGTCCTAGGGGCAGACTGGGGCAGGCAGGCAGGCCCGTCTCTCAGCCATGTCTTAGGGGGAGACTATGGTGCAGGCAGGCCCGTCTCTCAGCTTTTCCAGGTGCGCTGCCTGGGTGGCTAGCTGAGTCCCTTCACAGGAAACATGGCTTCCCTGAATTTCTAAATCTCTTACCGACCCAGCCACCAAGAGGTGGTTTTTTTCCCTTTACAACCCCCTCTCATCCACAAGCCTGTAAGCACCTTGAGGGTGCAGATACATGCTTGTTTCCCCCAGTATCTGACTCTATAAATGCAAGTAAGGGCAATGCATGTGTGTGTGAATGAACCCATGACGAATGGCTGTATGAGCCCTCTGGACTCAGCTTTGAAATGTTCCTGACTTCCTGTTAGAGATCAGGTTTCATGCCATGATGAGCTTTGTGTGTGTTTAGGGAATGTTGACTAGTTCTTGACAAGGGGAGCTGCTGGCGCTACTCTTGAGGCATGTATGTAGGCACGTGTGTGAGGGTGTATATCTCCATTCATTCATGCAACAGGTTGCTACAAAAGAATAGGCACTCAGGAGACCTGAATGGACAGATGGAGCATGATGAGAGATCTCTGAAAGAACCCACAGGGCCTGGATGGTAGGGACTGAGGACCAAAAGCAGATGTGGGGGAGGTGACAGATTCGATGCTGAGCCCATGCATTTGCGATATCACAGAGCATTCGAGTGAGGCTGCTGGGGGCAGCTCAAGTGCAAGGCTGGGGCTACAACGAGGTGTCAGCCAAAGAGACGTAGAGGGGCGGGCGGGGTGATGTTACTGTCAGAGAGAGAAGCTCGGATATGAAGAAATGAGGCCCAAGTCAGGACTCTGGGAACGCTCCCCTTCTAAGACACAAGCCAAGGAGAGGAGGCAGCAGCTGGACGAAGGGGGCTGAAGTCTAGGAGAGAGGAGGCTTGAAGGAGAAGGGCTTGGTCTATGATGGAAGAGGGGTAGCCTGGGTGACAGCGGTTTCTAAAAAACAGCGGGGAAAGAAGTCCCAGTGCAACCAAATGTTGAAAGTCCAGCTGGCTGTGGGTCAGAAGCCGGGTCCTGGCCTTTCAGGCACTCGGGTGCAGAAATGAAAGCCAGTGAGCCCCCTAAAGTCAACATGCAGCGCCCAGACAACCAGCAGTTACACGCCTGGCTGTTTACCGCACAGAAGTGGAAGCGTGCATTCAGCAGAAGCCTATCGCTGAGCCTACACGGTGGCTTGGTTCGTAACACCCCCAAAGAGAGGCAGCCCCCGTGCCCTTCAACAGGGAGCAGACCGTGGCTTATCCGCGCCATAAAATAAAGGAGAGCTTGTATGACTCTGGGAAATCATGCTGCTGGGAAAAAACCAAACGACTGTGTACTCTGATTCCAGCTGTATAACAATCTTGAAATGTCAAAATGTTAGAAATGGGGGTGCGTGAGTAATTGGGAGGCTCCACAGGGAGGTGTGGTTTAAACAGAAGAAGCAGGAGGGAGCCATGGGCGCTAGGAACTGTTCAGTATCTGCACTGCGGAGGGAGCGCCAATCCCCGAACGCACATCTCTACGCTCTCCTCTTCACCCGTCTCCCAGACGTGTCCATAAAGCCTCCTCTTGGCCTTCCCTCCCCCCTTTGCAGGTCTAGCCATGCAAACAGGCCCCGTGGCCCAGCTCCATCTAAAGTCTAACAAAGACACAGTCTCTCTCCCGACATCACCAGCCTTCTACACGGTCCACAGCCAAGGAAGGGAAGGCTATGTCTGGAGGGGTAGGGGGGCAGTTGGAGGAAAGGAGTCCCTTGGGGAAGAAATTCCATCAGGTTCTAAAAGGCCCCCTCCTGAGCACTAGAGGGGTTCTCCACTTGTGTGGCTTTGCTGACTATGGCTTCCTGGGGGCGTGGATGTGGCCTCTGCCCTGGCTCACGCCTCACCCTGAGCTTATGTCGCAGGGAAGCGTCTGAAACAAGCATGGCGGCGAGCAAGAGGTACGTCCTGAGGTTCCCAGCGCTGGAGACGCTGATGCTGGATGACAACAAACTGTCCAACCCCAGCTGCTTTGCCAGCCTGGCCGGGCTCCGGAGGTAAAGCCACAAGGCTCTTGATGGGGCCACTGTGCCCTGCCCCCTGAGGGCTGCTCTGGGGCCCAGATGCCCCCGGTTCAAACCCCATCCCCACAGCTCATCCCAGCTGTTGGCCACAGCACGGCATTTCTCTCCTCTGAGCTGCAGCTCGCCCACCAAAGGGGACTTGCTTCTGGTCATGTGACTTGATTAAAGGCAGCAAAGAGAAAGGAAGGCAGGAGGAGGCTCCAGCAGGGACGGGATCCAGACCCTGAGACAGGAGACCCACCCACTGCCCCCGGGTTTCCCAGGCTGTCAATCCTTACTGGAGCAGCCTCATCTGGTTCCCACTGAGTGCCTGGTGGGTTTGAACCGCAGCCCTTGGTTAGCAGGCAGGAGGGTGAGGTGAGGGTGAGGGAGGAAGAATCTGAAAGAGAAGTTTCACTTTAACTGCTGTCCATATAAGGAAGCATTTAGAATCTGTTTCTAAGTGTTCTGCTTGGCTGGCTTTGTTTTTAAAGAAGGCATTTAAATGAGTGCGCTCAGGTCACTGAAAATGTTGCTTGGGATTTAGTTGCCCCATGCTAAATACACTTTGTGCCAGGCCCTGTGCCCATTGTCCCATTTAGCCTTCAGAGGTTGATACTGATCATCATCATCCCCATTTGGAAGAAAGGGCTATGGAGCCCCCGAGAGGCTAAGTCTCTGGCTCAAGGTCACCCGTGGGGAGTAGAGGTCCAAGCCAGGTTCCGTCTCCTTCCCCACGTTGCTGGGTCTGTCTGTCCCTGAGATTCCATCATTGCTGTGATTCCATGTTCCCGTTCCTGAATTGAAGACTGAAGAAGTTGAGCCTGGATCAAAACAGGATCTTCCGGATCCCGTACCTACAGCAGGTTCACCTCCTCGATGGGTCGGGGGACTGGGTTGGAGGCAGGGACAGTTCCCTGAAAGAGCACCACTCCACACTGCAACCCAAGTCGTGGATGTACGAGGCCTCCGACGAGCAGCCGGACTACACTGTACTGCCCATGAAGAAGGATGTGGACCGGACAGGTGCGTGAGGCCCTTGTTCCAGCGACTTTAGGCCCGGGTGTGGGGGGGGGGGGAAGACAAACCTCAGCATTAGCTCTGAAAACCACTGACTTCCTGGGGAGCTCACTGCGAGTCTGTTGTTGGGCCTGGGGGAGGTGTTGGTCTCACAGAAACGATTTCACTGACTTCCCAACTGTTCAATCAGTTAACAGGCTTTGCAACCAAGAGGGGTTTAAAAATATTTAAAAACAAACAGAAAACACTCCAAATGATGGGACCCTCCGCTTTGCAGGGAGGGTGCACTGATGTCCCCCAGGGGCTCAGGCTCCTCTGCTCTGCCTGACTTAGCCTGCCTGCTTGGCCTTGTAGACTGGACCCCACTGGGGTCTCAAGATGGTAATCACAGCTCCAAGAATTACATCCAGAGGGCAATATTCAGAAGTAAGGGGCGGGGGGGATGTCACCTTTATTAGAAACTGAGATACCCAGACTACGCGCAGGGTTCTGGGCTGTGTATGTAATCCACTGGCCTGGTGCTCCCACCCCACTGTTCTGTGCTTCCCATGCACCTCAAAGTGAGGTCTGACTTACATAGACTACCATACTCTCTCGAGGTCTGTGTAGAGCCTGGCTTTTACAAACACACACCCTGTGGCCAGCACCTCAATTACAATGCAGAACAATGCAGAACAATGCCGGCATCCCAGGAGCCTGGCATCAGTGCCTCCCTCACGTATAGCCGCTAGTCTGACCTCAATCATCATCGCTCAGTTTTGCCTGATTTGAAATCCGTGAATGTGTGGGATCACACATGTGTTCTTGGGGGTCTGATTTATTTCATCCAACATTCTGTCTGTGAGATTCATCAGATCCAGGTTGTCGCATGTATCGGCAGTTCACTCATTTTCACTGGTTTTATTGAATTTTATTGATTACACTCAGCTATCGTTGATTTATCCCTTTTTCTATTGATAGCCATTTTAGTGGGTTCTGGGTTGAGGCTACAATGGATAACACTGCTATGAAGACTGTTTTACAGATTGATCGATTGATTGTGGACACATAGCCCTCGTTTCTGTTGGGTATGAATCAAGGAGTAGAATTGCTGGACCATCGATGACAGATGTTCAGCTTGGAGACGCATTCTTGTTTTTCCCTTCCCAACCTTTATCACCTTCTCTTGACAGCCCATCGGGTGCTGGAAGTTTGGGCCGCCTGGTCGTTTCCTCTTGCGCCCCACACTTGTCTCAGGCCCTGCCTTCTGAGGGCCTCTCGGCTGCCCCTTCCTTCCATCTTGGGGTCTGACCCAGTATGTCTTCTCCTTTGAGGAGCATAGTTTCTACGTATGAAGCTGCAGGTGGCCTCTCTGCCACGGCAGCCTGCTTTTGTATCAGAAAGGAAACAGCCACGGGATGCCTCTCAGAATATTAACTACTCTGTTTCATGGCTTCTACTTTGATTTTCATAGTTTTAATGATATGTTGTGATATGTTTTGACTTCTAGTTCTGCGTGCTAAGCAAGCCCTATTGTGTTCACGCTTGTTTGTTTTTCCAGGGGTTGGTGCCTCCGTTGTTGTTGTGCTTTGTTTCAGGTTTCATGACCTTTTCCCCGTGGTGTTGGCTTTCCTCCGCAACATGTAGCTGTTTGGTTGTCTGTCCACCTTGTTGCTTACCCATCCTGGCAAGCCCTTGCTTCCTGTCGCTGGGGGCATGTGCTCCGGCAGAGGCTGTCGCTGCTTGTCCTTCTGGAGGGGAGGGCTCGCCCACGTTTGCATCCACAGCCCAGACCCCTGTGAATTCCTCTCTCAAGCCCCTGCAGCCACCTTGTAGGAGAGACAGATCCCACTTGGGCTTCTACCCAGAGCCCACCCACGACTGCACCTTGGTTACCTTGGGACTTGTAGGGCTACCGCACCACGGACATGTGGGAAGGGTCCCAGTAACCGGGGCCATGGCAAGCAGCCCTAGCGCAAGGCTTCATTCCGTTGGATTCAACTGTCGGTTGGCCCATCTTCCTCCGGTGGTCCCAATCTCCTCTTGTTCCTGTCCTGGCTGCTCCTAGGGTCTCTCCTTCATCCACTGACTCGACACATTCCAGATTTAATAATGTGGCCGGCCCTATTTTCACATCCTCTCATGGAATACCTCTGATACACAGTTCTGTCTTCTGAACAATTGGTTTCCCTTCTGATGAATACTGACTGGCAGGCTGTTGTGAGGCTAGAAAGAGCATGGGAGGTCAGCGTGCTGCATTGCCGAGAGTGAGGGGGAGAGCAGTCTGAGGCGAAACTGGAGAAGCAGGCCCCGGCCGCCTGGTTAAGGAGTGAGGATGTTGTTCTTTGTGCCAAGGGACGTACCTGCATTGGGAAGTCAGAATGAGGACCCCTGCCAGAGGCATCCTGTCATCCCCCATGGGTGGCAGACCTGGACTCTGGCCTCCCTGGGGGTCCATCGGTGCTCTGACCTCTGACCCCTGTTGCTTTGTTTCTCTTCTGTTTCAGAGGTGGTATTCTCCTCGTACCCTGCATTTTCAACCTCACAGGTAAGAGCTGTCTACTTTATGTTGGTGCCCTTGAGTTAGAACTTCAGTGTTAAGAAATGGAGCCAAGGGCATGGAGCTACGAGCCGCGTTGCTAGAGGAGGGCATGTCAAAAAGCATTTGCTGCAAAAGCATAGAAAGCGTGTGTGTTAGGCTGGGTTCTCTAAAGAACCAAACTGGTGGTGTATAGAAGATAGATAGATAGATAGATAGATAGATAGATAGATAGATAGATAGATAGATAGATAGACAGACAGATAGATAATGTTGTTTCTGGGTGCCACCAAGCTGGTTCTGACCCATAGCAACCCTGTGCACAATAGAATGAAACACTGCCCGGTCCTGCCCCGTCCTCACCCTTGTTCCCCATGCTTGAGCCTATTGTTGCAGCCCCTGTGTCAGGCCATCTCCTTGAGGGCTTCTTCTTTTCTGCTGCTCCTGCACTGCATGATGTCCTTCTCCAGGGTCTGGTCTCCCCTGACAACAGGTCCAAAGTCCGTCTCTCCAGGAGCACTCTAGATTAAGGTGACCAGACGTACCGCCTTTGGTGGCACAGTCCCGATTTTTGGAAAGAATGCATGACAAGCTAGGGGATGGTCTATTTGGTCCATATAGACCAACTTTTTAATCAAGAAACCCCACCCCCACCCCCGGGCAATGGTGTCCCGCTTTAAATCTGGTCACCTTACTCTAGATGTACTTCTTCCCAGACAGATTGATTGGTTCTTTCGGCAGTTCATTGTGCTTTCCATAGTCTTCGCCAGCACCATGATTCAGATGCTTCCGTTCTTCACTTTCACGTGCTCCAGTTATGGGAAAAGATCATTGATATCACATGCAAGTTAAACTCTGCTAGAGATGATCCAACAGCACTTCCAGCAGTCCACTGACAGGGAGCTGCCCGAGGTTTAGGCCAGATTCAGAAGAGAAAGAGACCTAGACACAGACCTAGACATACAGAGAAATGAAATCAAGGAGCTGCCCAAGACTCAGACTGAGAAGAGGCTACGGCTATCATTGCCTGAGTCAGATAGCTTTTGACTGATAGCAGAGACTACCAGAAAGTTGTGTACTTGCGTCTCGTTGACTATGCAAATGCACTCGCCTGTGTAGATCATAACCCACTATGCATAACAATGAGAAGAGTGGGAATTCCAGAACCGTTTGCTGTGGTCACGAAGAACCTACACACACTAGGCAGTGATCTGAGCAGACCACGGGGATGCCGCCCTTGTTAACCTCAGGAAAGCCGTGAGTCGGGCAGGCTTGTATCCTGTCACCACCAGGCTCACTCAGTCTGCGTGCTGAGCAAATCATCAGAGAAGCTGGGCTGGATGAAGAATGCAGCATCAGGCTGGAAGGAAGGCTCCTTAACCACCGATGATATGCAGATGACCCACCTCATGTGCTGAAAGCAGAGCGATCTCGAAGCACTTACTGATAAAGATCGCAGTGGCACGCTTCAGTTAAATGACACTGCAGCATCAAGAAAACGAAGATCCTTACCAATGGACCAATGAGCAACATCATCCTCGCTAGAGACAAGGTTGAAGCTGCCAAGGCTTTCATCTGGCTTGCACCCACCATCTTGGAAGCAGCAGTCAAGAGATCAAATGACATATTGTGTTGGGCACACCTGCTGCCCAAGACCTGATTAAGGTGTTAGAGAGCCAAGACGTCCCTGTGAAGACTAAGGTGCGCCTGGCCCATGGCACAGTATTTGCAAACAGCTCCTATGCATGTGAGAGCTGAGCAGAGGTGGTGGAAGAGTGGATCGCGTGCTTGGCAAAGAAGTCAATGGAAGAAGAAGGACCTCGATGAGAGGGCTGTGACACACCGGGGGCTCCAGCATAGCAATTGTGAAGCTGGCGCAGGCCTGGGCAGTGACTCGTTACGTTGTCGACAGGGTTGCTCTGCGTTGGAATCAACAAGGCACCTTTTAAGACAGGCCCTTTCTGCCCTCAGCAGGACCAGTCTGATCCAGGACCAGCCTGACTCTGGCTTTCTCTTGTCTGTGAGTCAGTCTGATTCATCCCCTCCAGCTTCCACAGTGTGTTAGGCCAGATTGACTAGAGAAACAAATCCAGTGACACTCATATATATATGTCAGAGAGAGCCTTATATCAAGAAGTCATTGTACATGGAGAAAACATCCCAGCCCAGTCCAATACTAGTCCATGAGTCCCTCTGCAGACTCATGCAGCCACATGCAATGGTGTAGAATGCAGGAAGATCGCAGGCTGGTGGGTGCAAAGTCTTGAGGATCCAATGGTGGTGGAAGCACCACAGGGCTGTGGCAGGTTTCAGCATGGCTTGTCAGCAGGAAGGTAAGGGCAGAGTTTGGGGATTCCGGGGTTTGGGGGTTCCCAGGACCCTCCTTATGAAAAGGCCATGCCCACAAGGAGGCACCATCATGCTGTGAGCTGACTAACGGGTTAAACTCCACCCCTACACCTTTATTTGATCAAGTTTCCAAGCACATTACTCAGACCCTTGGTTAACCTGTCCCGTGTGTGGCTTTACTAGGTTGAGCTCCACAAGGCAGAAACTACTTGACCCAAAGCAGGTGCTCCACCAACCTTCACCGACTATGAGCAGAGCTCCGTTACATGTTCAAGTCCACACCCAAATGAACAGAATCTAGTTCATTGAATCCAAGTAAACGGATTGAAGGTGTGGGTGATTCAGCAATTTCTATTTTCTGCTTGACTGGACATGCTGGCTCTGAGGCAGTGTGGGTTGAACAGAGACCCTGACACCACAAGTGGCTGGGAGCAAGGTCACACACAAGTCCAAAGGCCTGGCTGGAGTCATTTGGGACTTAGCTGTTGATGCCTCTGTGAACAAAGCATCTCCACTGTAGAATGTAGGCTAGCCCATCGGGCCTCTCCCCATTAGGGAAACCCCCTTCCTCTCAACACTGCAAGTGCCGGCTCCTTTGCCTTATGAAGAACTGTCCACTCAGCTGTGGAGAAAGCTGATCTAGGGCAGAGGGTCATGGGGTTGGAGGAAGGACCACCTGCCACCATTGCTGTCTTGCTCTCCCCCGCAGAGAGCGTGACGCTGGAACTTTGGGTGCTGGAGAACTTGTTCTCCATGTGACTGCAGAGAACTCGGAACCAGACCCTTATGACCCGAGGTGCCTCTTTCCGCCCACGTGGCTTCCACAAGGCTCTGGGGCCCTCGGCCCCTCCACTTCTTGATCAGGAGGCCACTTTGAATTTTCCTTTTCTTTCTTTTTCTTTCAAGCCAACCAAAGTATGTACTCTTCCACCCATATTCGAGATTCTTCCTGTAAAGTCTCTGAAGGCCAGGAACCAGACACTGGCCCCGCCCTTCCCAGAGCTGAGGTACCTTAGCCTGGCCTACAACAAGGTGAATATCTCCTTCTCTTCCTATTTCCTTGTTTTATTTTATTTTACTTTTTTTTGTAGGTTGGTGGGGGGGGGCTGTTATAGTTTGAAGGCCAACCCTCCAGTTCCCAGGGTACAGACCTGTGGGCTCAGGCAATCTGAGGACGGGGGAGGGGAGGGAGTGCAGACCAATGCAGTAGTCTACCCATTCAATTACAGATGTTAGGTTAGCGCTTACCATTGCTGGGGTCTGTGCTAGGCACTGAGTATACAATTATTTTTTTTTAATTTGGCTCAGCATCCTTCTCAACACTTGGTGTTATATCTCTGCAATTTTAGCCATTTTAATGAGAGCATCTTGTGATTTTACATTTGATGTTGAGCATCTTATCCTGTGCTTATTGGTGGTTCATAGATTTTCTTGTATGAAGCATCTATTCAAAAACGTGTTTCTTGGGTTAGTCCCTTATCACTGCAAGAGTAGAGCGCTTTACGTACTGTAGCTTTATCAGCATCTAGGCGATATTATTTACATTATCAACGTTTCCACTTTGTGGCTTGCCTGGTCATAGTCTTTCAAAAGAATTTAAAATTTTAAGTCCAATTGATCTTTTTTTCTTCCTTCCATTCTCTTTTCACATCTTAAGAAGAATTTGCCTACCTGCCAAAGATCACAAGCTTCTTCCTGATTTTTTTCCTAGAAATTTGATCAATTTTGCTTCTTAAATGCGGTCCATGATAATTTTTTTATCTGTTATTTCAAGTAAGATCCAATGTTCTCTCTCTCTCTCTCTCTCTCTCTCTCTCGGTCTGTTATTTGTTGTAGCACCATTTGTTCAGTCGGCTTTCTTTGCTCCACTGAACCGCCTTGGCATCTTCATGAGAAAGCTGAATTTGCCGTCCCCGGGGCGGCCTTACTTGTGGACACTGCACGCTGTTCCGTGGCTCTTGAGGTCTGTTCTTTCACTGATTACACGCCACCGTGTGCTCGCGGTGTGAACCCTGAGATGTCCCAGATGTTTGTGCTACAACGTCAAAGTTGAATAGTTGCAACAGAGTTCAGATGGCCATTTAGACACATTTATTGTAAAACATTTCTTTTTGGTCCTGAACAGAAAAGTTTTGCGAGCCCTTGGCTTAGCTATCAAGTGTGAGGGTTCCCCAAGGCCCACCCCTGGTCCCTCCCCTACTCTCAGTCCTCTGTCCCTAGGGATAGCTTTTGTTATCCATGGGCCCCTGAGAATGGAAGTGTATCACTTCCGCTGAAGCCCTGCTCCGTATCTCAGACCGAGAGAGTCCACTGTCTGTTTGGCATCTCTACATGGTGGTCTCAAAGGTGCTTCCAAAGAGCACCTACTTTTTTTTTTTTTTAACATTTTATTAGGGGCTCATGCAACTGTTATCGCAATCCATACACACATCAATTGTGTAAAGCGCATTTGTACATCATTCTCAAAACATTTTCTCTTCACTTAAACCCCCGACATTAGGTCGCCAAAGAGCACCTACTTAATGATATTTCTCTCCAAATCCTTAGTGAATTAATGATTCTTCTCTTCAGAAAGATCAGAAGTTCTTCCATTGTCCTCTTAGTAAGTAGCACCACTATCCATCCAGGTTGATTCTAGTCAAAGCCTGGTTGTCATCCTTTCTCATTCCCCATGGCTAATTCATTACCAAGGCTTGACAGAGTTACACCATTCTATTTCCTAAAGCCATCTAATGGGTCCCCCAGGGACCAAGATCGTCAGCAAGTGTGGTCTGGCGCCACGTGCACCAGCAGCCCCATTCTGTCCCGTGCATCTGCTGTCTGCGTCGAGTCACCCGGCCTTCTTTCGATTCCTTCAACAGGCTTTTCTCCTCCGGCCGAGGTCTCGCCTGTCGTGCCATCTTCGCATGGCACGCGTTGCCCTCTGCATCAGGTCACAGGAAACATCTCAATCAACCCACACCATAGTTTATTTCTTGCTCCTACAAAGTCTAGGGTCGATGTTCCTGGTTGGCAGGTGGCTTTCCACATGATTACCCAGGGGCCTGAGTGCTCTGATGTGGTCGTGGGGTAAGTATGTGACTGGATCCATGCCCCCAGAGGCTACATGGGTGGGCTGGGAGAAGGGGGTGAGAGAAGCAGAGGACCCTGCAGGAGGCTTCGGAGAGGCTGTGCCCGAAAGGGTCATGTTTCGCTTCCACCGACCTTGCCTTGGCCAGGACTGTGTCACAGGACCACACCGGGCTGCCGGGAAGTCTAGGAGGTGGAGGCTAGCTGTGTGCTCAGCAGGTGGGGGAAATGGCTTAACCAGCAAGAGGATGTAGTTGTGTCTGACACACACTCTCACTAATGAAGCTCCTGCTCACCCTCAGATTCCAGGGACGTGTAGCTGCCCTGACTTCCCTCCCTAGGCCCCCGGCACGCAGGCACGTGTGCACTTCTGTTTTGTGGTCCTTGTCACCATTGCAAGTCGGCTCTCCCGTGTGGGACTTCGCCTTCGGTTCTGCTCCCCACTGGGCCATGTGGGCAGGAAGGGCCCGTTAGGGTTCCATCCTGAGTACCCCTTGAATACACTCCCTCGTCCTCCTCACACCTTGTCTCACCCCTGCCTGCTCCTGGTCTCAGTCTCTCCCTTTGTCCCCTTGCCTGGTCCCAGTAGGAATTCCGTAACTGTTGGCGGAATGGACCAGAACTGGAAGCACAAGTTGAAGTCAGTCACCCGGTGTAAGCCTGGTGCGACTGACCTCAGGGGAAGACAAGCCGAAGGGCCTGCCTCTCCCACCCCTGGAGAGAGCCTGCCGTGGCCGGGTCTACACTGACCGGGCACTTCCCAGTGTGCCCAGTGGTCTGAAAGGCCATTTCCCCATGCTGGGACCCCTAGCTGGCTCTGAGGTTGTTCCACTGCTAATAGACACCTGCCCAAGAGGGTCCCTGGATACTCCATCCCATCTCAAGGGCTGCGTATTTTATTATTATTTTTTTGTCCTTCTGATGCCAGTTTGGCCACCCAGCCATGGCTTGTAAGCTAGCTTTCAGGAAATGGGGTGGCCTCTGGACCCCAAACAGTCATGAGGTCTCCTTTGCCACGAAACTCAAACGAACTCACTGAGGTCTAGTGGATGCCGACTCATCACCGCCCTACAGGACAGGGTAGAACTGCGCTGCGCGTTCCCGAGATGGGGGCTCTTTAGGGGAGTAGGGAGCCAGCCCTGTCTTTCTCCCACGCAGCAGCTGACCGTGTGGACTGCAGCCCAGCACATACCCTCTGCCCGCAGGCGGCCCCTCCAAGACCACCCATTATGGTTATTATGCCTCTGGTGGGTGGGTCCTCCCCAGGCCCTCTTCTGGTCAGTGCCAGGACAGGCCTCAGTGAAGGGGACCATCAGGAGTCGTGTTGACAGATGTTGTGGTTTGAACTGAGGAAGGTAAAGGTCACCTCTAGGTGACCTGGGGCCAGAAGTCTCACTTCCAGCCAAACTCCCAGACACCTTGTGGGGGGAAAAAAAGCTATATAAATGTTTGCTATTATTTCGTCGCCACTACTGGGCATGTGAAGAATGGGAAGCGGTGATGGAACTTCCGATGGGGAGGGTGGGCCGTCCTGGAGTGAGCCCGGAAAGCGCAGGGATAAGGCTGGGCTGTGAGCAGCTCCAGGATGCATGTCCATCTTGCTCCCAGCAAGTGTGTGCAGCAGAGGCTGATCCCAGGCACCCCCGCGTTTATTGCAGATCGCGAGGGAGGACGCGCTGCTGCCGGTGGCTCTCTTCCCGTCTCTCTGTGAGCTCGTCTTCCATAACAACCCTCTGGTGGCCCATACTCGAGGTAAGTGCCCACAAGCCCGGCCCCGCCCACCCGGGCCCAGGGACCCAGCGGAGGCCCTCCCTTCCCTCTGCACGCTGACCACCAGGGCTGCGCCTGCAGAGTGGAGCCGGGAGTGCACAGGGCAGAGGGCAGCCACTGGAGGCCCGGCCAGGAGGATGCCAGGGGAGCTCGGGTCCTTGTATACTCGCTGTCAGCAAACTGCGGCTCGAGAGCCATCTATAGCTTTTTGGATACATACATGTAGCTCTGAAGTAGAGTCGAAAAATATTGAAAGGCTGTTACCCGGATAATGGTGATCTCATTTGTTTGTAAACATATGTGTGGCCCTCCAATCACTCTCAGATTGTTGCGAGGGACAGGATCGGCTCTGTCCTCTCAAAAGTCTGCCCACCCTGTTCTAGATCGGCCCCGGGTAGACTCAGCTCTCTGTGCCTCAGCGGAGGGGGCTCAGAGTACAGGGACACCCGCAAGGTCACTTGAGCAGTGCCTGGAGCGTGTTAGAGCCGTGCGCCTCACGCCAGGACCCGCGAGCTAGCGTGGATGTTTTCCTTTTCCCATCCTGGCCCCAGGGGTCCCTCCACTGTTGAAGAGCTTCCTCCAGGAGCGGCTGGGGATCCACTTAATTCGAAGGAAGATAGTAAGGGCTAGGCACCCCCACATTTTGATGTCACGGAAGGAATCAAGGAAGGTAAGCGACGACCATGCACTCGGCCCTGGGCCCTCAGCCTCGGCCCGGGGCAGGGAGCTTATTGGACGTGTGTTACTGACCTGGGGTAGAGCTGCGCTGGCCTCGAATGTTGGGTCAGATGATGTTGATGCTGTCTTCTCCCCTCCTTGCTCTGGAAAGCACAGCGATACCCAAGAAGGAACAAGACCAACAGTTAGAGACCCCAAAAGTCAGAGTAGGGAGGAGCCTTGGAAGGCACCTAGTCTCACCCCTAAATTGTACAGAAAACCTGAGGCTCAGAGAAGGCAGTGTGGGGGTGGGGTGGGGACCCCAGCCTTAAAGTCTAAGGACCCAGCTACAAGCCTGGCTCTCTCACCAACCAGAGCTGCCTCGCCTGTCGGTGCCTCTGTTTTCTCATCTTGATAACCTCTCAGAGCTGCTGAGAGGACTGGATGGAGCCGCAGATAAGAAAATACACGAGATAATCCACTGCCTCAGGCCAGGGCACACCATAATCCTCTCTGGTGGTCATGACTGCTGCACAGAGCTAGACGGGGCCTGCAGGAAGAGGTCCCCCTGCAGAAAGGCACGTTTTTCTCTGCGACTCGCCCAGCCGGTGGTCTGAGCCTTGCCTTGTAGGATGCCGTAGGGAAGCCAAATCCCTCTCCCAGCTGGAGAATTTCAGAAATTCCCAGGACATGGTCCTCTCCCCTGAACTTTGGCTTTCCTGCCATCAGAAGCTGGACTGGATGTTACAGATCCCCAAAGTTACATAGTTATGCCCACCTTCCTCCCTCCAGAACGGGCCTCTGTCCTGCCAAGCTCCTGATTGGAGCCCCCAGAGGATTGCAGAACCAGAAATCATTCAAAGGGTTTCCCTCCTCTTCCCCCTTGCCTGCCACCCCTCTAAGGCCCTCCTACCTCAGCAGGTGGCTAAGTCAGAGGGAACCAGATGCTGAGCACATTGGCCCCCTTTCCAGAACACCCACCTGTGCCTAGTCCCCGAGCCCCTGTCCCTCCCACGCCTTCATCCTCAGACGCAGCCTTGTCCAGAGGAGGAAAAGACTCAGAGAGGTGACTTGACTGGTGAAAAGGTAGTGTTGGGACCCAGGGTGTGGTGCTCCTCACCCCACTTCCCCTGCAAGGTTGACTCATGGAGGGCAAAGGCAAAATGCAGTAGCCAGATGGAGCACGAGTAACAGCTTGTTGATTTGGGCCAATGCCTGTTAACCCCCAGTTCCGGGCAGGACCAGAGGAAGTGGCTCAGGCCTGAAGTCAGATGGGCGATGCCTACCTCCCCCATGTCGGGGACCTGGGGCCTGCATGTTCTCAGCGTACTGCCAGAGCTGGGGCTGGGCATGCAGAACAAACACACTTCCAGGCCCAAGGCTGCATCTCCTCCCCTCAGATGGACAGAATGGGGGGAAATGGAGAACCTTCCAGAGTAAGCCCAGAACTACCCAACAGGCAGCTAAAGAGTTGTGTGAGGCCTCTGCTTCTGAGCTGACAGGTGGGAGATAGTGCAATCTGCATGCGATGCCTGGTAATCCAGCCCACGGGGGGGGGGGGGGGGAGGCCGGTGCCTCCCAATGGCTATTGTTAACAGTCACCCCAATTAATTAATTACACCATTGATTCTCAAACTGACTTGGCCTACCACCTCCTTTCAGAAAACAAACAAAAACTGAGCAGTCTCCGTTCCCCACGTGACAATTAAAAGCATGTGTACTATAGCACATAAGCCAGGGTAAAATGTGGATATCTGCCTTTGCAGCCCCCTGGATCCTTGCAGCACCCCCCACCCCCACAGACTGCCCATTCTTCTCTGGGAAGGGGCCCCTCCAGCACTGCTCCAGGCAGAAAGAGGCAACAGCTGCCAACCCACTGATCTGTGAGAGGCAGGCTCGCCCAGCCCCTTCCCCACCGGCTGGTCAGCGGCCACCCTGAGGTCAGGCACTGTGCTGACCATCCCTGCCTCCTAGGTTCAGAAAACAAGCTGAGGCTTCCAGCATGAGCTCTTACCCATTTTCAAAAAGGAAACTGGTTCTTGAAAAGTATTCTAAGAGGGAAGTATTTTTAAGACCAATCTAAACTTAGGCTTCACCATTGTCCTCTTCATCGGTTACTAGTGCTGGTGCAGATAGCAGGTGCTCAATCAGTGTTGTATCGGTGAATACATTTGTGTGTGTGTGTGTGTGGAGGGCAACTTTTAAAGTCCGCATGCTCCTCACGGGTATTTGTTTCCCACAAACAGCTCCCAGACCTTCCCCACTGCTTCTGTGGGTGCATGTCACCTACGGGAAGTCCTTATTTTTGTATGTGACGATGCTTGTTTGGACTTAGATCGTCTTGCCCTGCACCCTTGGAATGCTTGTCCCCTCCATGGCTTGTCCCCTCCATGGCCTACAGAACAGTTTGCTCACCAGGCAAAAGTACATGCTCTCTTCAAGCAAATCATGAAAACCTATGCCAGCCCAGCACTGATCTTAGGAATTCATCATTTTTTAAAAGCCCCCATTTGTATACAGTTGCCCTAACACAGCAAGTATTATATAGCTTGTCATTGTTGCTTTTCTGTACTAAGAATTTTTTAAATTATTTTTTAAAGTTTATTAGGACAGTGGTTCAATAAACAAAAATGACTTCAATTTAATATTACTTAAAGCAAAAAAAATGTACTTTCTAAAACTGTAGTCTTTCACACTCCCCCATTTGCCAGGGACTTCTGCACTCAGGGCCTCCTTTGAGAGCAGGCCTGCGGCGGCTCTTCTCCCATGTCAGGAGGAGGGGGGGGGTTGTGGGGGGGGGCTGTGGCCCCTGCTTCTTTTCTTGTTGTGCTTCAGCTCTGTCTAATGCACAGCCTGGGAAGCCAGATCTAAGGGGTCCGAGGACTTTTGATAAAAATATATATGTTTAATATTTATATTAATTACAGTTAGTGGTGTATTTTTGTAATTTGTATTAATGATTAATATAATTGCTTTATTTAGTATGGGTTTATAGGGAGGGGGCGAGAGAACTCAGGCCGTGGAGGAAAATGAGCACAGAGCTCCTGGCAGCTGAGCCAAGGCCCGGGGGAGGGCAAGCCGGGCGCCAGGCTTTTGCGAGTTAAAGACACTGAGCCGTTGGTTCAACAGGGGCTCTTTCCTGGCCCCTGAACTCAAGGGATTTGCCTTGAGTGAGCCTTTAAATCAAGGCCACCGTGTTAGACAGAAGGTCAGGGGGCGCTAGTCAGAGATGTGGAATGAGACCTGGCGCTCAGGAATGGAATCTGACAGTCCAGACGCTGTCCGAACAGGTGTGATCCTGGACAGGTGATTTTACCTCTCTGAGCCTGGTCTCCTGTCTCTAACATGAGGTGCTCCTTCCTAGGTGGCTTTGAATGTAAAGAAAAACAGCAGTAGTAGGGTAGTGGTTACAATCCACATGGTCAGCAGTTTGAAACCACCAGCAGCTCCGTGGGAGAAAGACGGGGCTTTCTACTCCTGTAAACAGTGGCAGTCTCGGAAACCCACAGTGGGTGGCTATGAGTCAGCACCAACTCGAGGGCAGTGAGTAAGGCCCTTACCCAGTCCTCTGACCATTGTCCGGAGCACTCTCGCCCTCGGGCGGGGAAGTCCAAGAGGCGAGACTTCAGACCAGGGAGCAATCCAGCCCAGCCTTTCCTTCACGACAGGTGAAAACTCAAGTCCCAAAGGTGCCCAAACAGCACCTGGTGCTCCAGGAGCCGTCTCTGACTGCTGTTGGGTCTCTGACGAGGGGTGAGGCAGAGCTGGAGGCAGACCCCACTGAAGAACCGTCCGCTGCCAAACTCAGTCCTGTGGAGTCTGAGCTGCCCATCGAGGGCATCGAGGGCCTCTCTGCCTCGCACCGAACCTTCATTCCACTGCCTCCCATTTGCTCCAACTCCACGGTGCACAGCGAAGAGATCCTGTCCCGCCCGAGTGATGGAGCCGGCCACCTCAGCCCCGAGCACCCATCAGACGAAGACACCAAAAGCACTGAGTCCATCTTCTTGACCCAGGTGCCCGCCCACCCCTCTCAGATCCTGCAGGTTCTTGGGTGGCCCTATGGTGGCGGTGGGGCTGCTGTAGGTAGCTGGGAGCAGGCACATGGCCGGTCTGGGAACCAGAGGACAACACCAGGCAGGGTCTGCGAGTCCTTTCTTGGTCCACTGACCTAAGATGGATGGGGGGTCTTGATGGGGAGGGGCACCCAGAGAGACAGGTCATGGTCCTGTGGCACCTGAAACACCTAGGGTCTGGCTGGGTATGAATCTGACCAGTTTGGGAGAAGGCTTGTCTGCTGCCTCACTTCTGATGCTGCCCGGGGACAGAGGTGATCAGACAGGAGCCCGGCCTTAAGGTGCTCTCACTCGAATGGTGGAGGCAGCAGAAGGAATAGCAGAAACCAGTGCAGAGACTGGGGAAACTCCAGAGCCTGGTCCTTAATGGAAGGAGGGATGAGCCTGCTGCAGTCCATGAGGGCTTCCTGGAAGAGGTTCTGATGAGCCGAGCTTTACAGACTGAATGGGAAGATGTGGGCAGCAGGCAAGCTCATTCTGGGCAGGCAGCGCAGGCTACCAAGGAAGGAAGTGAAAATGGCCCATGCAGGAGAAACAACTGGATCAGGGCCAGTGGGACAGAGGGTAGCATGTAGGGGAAAGGCCATTTTAGGGCTGGAGAGTTGGCAGAAGCCCCCTTGAACTTCATTCTTGTCCTGTATATCTGCCTAACCATGTATGTGGGACTCGCTCTAGTCATCCATCTTTGCTTCACAAGTGACTTGTAGTGACATCTAAATTCACACAGTACGGGAGTATCCCCTTTGGGTACAGAGCAGAGTGTAAACAATGATGTATCGGAACAAACCGTTGAGAGAACAAACCGTTGAGAGAGTTGGATGAAAGGAAAGACAGGCAGGAAAGGAAATGACGTGTTCAGGGAAATTCCATCACTGGAGCACACACATCAGGCAGCGCTGTCCTCGTCACAGAGATGTATCGCCCAACTGTGGGTCTGGTTTTCCTAGCAGCCAACGCAATCCAGTCAATTGCGTCACCCTGTCATTCTCACACTAGGTGATGCCGTGTTCTGCATACGGAAGGTGCAGAACTGAGCTGACCGGACAGCAACTAAAACAAACCGGCCTGGGCCCTACTGACCGCTCCTGTCGCCTGTCTCTTCCCGTGGCACCCCAGCGATGCTGATTCTTAATCCCCCTAGGACTCCTTTGCTGTATCTCACCTCTGCTCAGGCTTTTCCTTGCCTGTAACATCAGCCTTTCCCGGCTTCCTGCAGCCCATTCCACTCCTACCTCTGCCAAGATATATCGGTAGTTCTTCAAGATTTTGCTCAGTCTTAATCAGTTCCTCCAGGAAGCTTCCTTCCCCCAAGCTGGGGCCAGGGCTTCCTCGGGACCCACCCGTGACCTTGCGCTCATTACTAGAGTCATATTTATGAAAGGAGACGACCACTGTCTGTTTTTATACCCTCCCGCTCTTCGTCTGCAGACTACCGAGGGCCGCGGTGCCCCCAGAGCCCGGCGGGGACTGGGAGGGAGCTTGGTCTATGCTCAAGTGCTAATGGGAGAAATGAATGTATTTTCCCTCCTGGGCACAGGTGAGTGAGCTGCCGCCCTCCGTCCAGAAGGACGACTCAAAGGTGAGGAAGCATGACCACAAGAGGCCATCGACAGCACCCAAAGAGACGAAAAGGGCTCGAAGGAGGCGTCCATCTGCCTTCATGCTCCCCCAAAAGTACCACGGCTACGAGGAGCTACTGACAGCCAAGCCGGACCCAGACTTCGCTGAGCCAAAGGGTATGTGGGAAAGTCAGCTCTGGGGCAAGGGCCCCCTGCACAGCCGCAGTAAGTCAGCCCCCCACCCCCCCAACCCCCAACCCCCGCTGGACACTAGCTTGCCTTCTCCCGCTGCGGTGCACCGTCTCCTGTCTCCGTGTCTGTCAGAGGGGTCGGTGTGAGCCTTCATTGGCTTTTAGGGTGTCTTCAGAGTCCAGCAGCTCTGGTTAGAAAGGTCCCTCGTCCCTAAAGGTTTGAACAGACCTCAGCCAGTGCAGTTAAGACTGGAAGTGAACAGCCCCTGGTTGGAGTAGGGGGCTAATTGATGTCCTCATCAACCAGTGACACTGGGGCCAGCCCCCAGCTCCAGTGCTCACTGTCCATGAGGATCTATGCTCACAGGGGACAAGTAGTCAGTGAGCCAATGATGGAACCGCAGGCACCGCCACAGGTTGGGGAGATGTCTGGGAACTGTGTGTGTGTGTCTAGACAATGGGGTGCGGGGGAGGCATCAGATGAAGCGTGGTTGCCTGGATGGCGCCCTGCTTTCTGACCCTAGGGACCCAGAAGAATGCGAAGGCCTTGCAGCAAATCCTGAAGCATCCGCTCCTGTACCACCCCCCCAAGGCCAAGGTGGACACCCTCTGGAAACCCCCTTCCACTGTCCCCAAGGAGAAGCGGGTAAGTGCCCGCCTCACTTAGTGTGCCCATAGCCCTCAGGAGCCCCCCAACTCACAGGAGTGACTGTCCCCTGGGGACCTTCTAAGAACCATGCTCCCGGGGCCTTCAGCACACCCCTACCTGTGGCCTAAGGGGCGAGGCCAGGGGAGTGTGGCCTAAGCCGGGCTAACACCACCTCCTATGTCCTGACAGGCCCCGAGGACCCCGGTTCCACCCCCGCGAAAGACCCGAGCCCAGCTGCTGGATGACATCCTCAGGCGCATGCGGGACCCCCGGAACATCACAGAGGCGCCACTAGGTACGGCTCCGGTCCCCGGGGAGCAAATGCTGGGTTAGGGCAGAGGGGACCCTCGAAAGCACCCTCCCCCACCCCCCAGATGGAGAAATCGAGGCCAGGAGCCACGGTGCAGGGACTTGCCTAACGCACGCAAGAGCCCAGGCTTGAGGCAGAACCAGGAGGGGACACACACCCCTGGCTTCCCACTGCCCCAAACTAGGGGTGCCGCTGTCGGCGCCCCGGCCCTCCTGCCACTGCCTCCCACTGCCCCGCAGGCACCGTGCTGCGCGGGCGCGCCGAGCCGCGCCTGGTGAACCAGAAGCAGTACCTGGAGGCCAAGCGGCTGCTGAAGGAGTTCCAGGCGCGCTACCGGCAGCTGGTGCGCGGCTCCTTGCGCACCGTGTTCGGGCAGCAGCCGCCGCCGCCGCCGGCCCCTGCGCTGGCCGAGGCCCAGCCCAAGTTCGGCCGCTTCCTCGAGTTCATGGACGAGTTCTGCCAGGAGCCCCCGGCCAGCGACTCCAAAGGCTAGGGCTGCCGCGGGGCTCCGCGCGCTGCCCGCCTGCACCCGCCGCCCTCCCCGGGGGGCCCGCGCCCGGCCGTTCCCGGTGGCCGACCTGGGGTCCGGGAACTGCGCGGGTCTCGGAGCGGCCCGCCGCACGTGCTGTCTGAGGGCAGAGGGGAGCTGGTCGGGGCCTCCCCTCCCCGGGCCTGGCGGGACCCGGCCCAGCTGCAATAAAGAATGGGTGCGGAGAGCGAAGTCACCACTGTTGTCCTTGGAACCTGGCTGGGCCAGGGCACCGCCGCGGTCACGCCTGGAAGGGGGATCCTTGCTGACGGGCTCATGTCAAGAGCCCCATGGGTAACGCAGTCAGTGCAGTCACAGCACACGGCGAGGCCCATCAGTTATCAGAGCCAGTGCCAATAAAATCGGAGTCCGGATGGGGCGCAGGGTAAGACTTCCGAACCCCAGAAAAACCGTGCTTTCCCTGCTGCGCACGGGGTGGGGTGTTTGAGGTCCAGGGGTTCCCTTCCCCCCACCACTAATCGCGGGTTCTATAGGCACATTGTACGGATGAGATACATATTACATTAAAGTCATCGAGAGCATGATAGAGTCAAATAATGGAGTCAAACACGTTTCATGGTAGCATGCTCACCTCCTGGATGGCCATGATCTTACCGGCCAGGTCCACGCACAGCGTGGGCCGAGACGAGGTGGGGCAGGGACCCAGCAGGAGGCTCGAGGACTTGGTATATTGCTAACCAAGGGTTATATCTACTTCGGGGGGCGTGATTGCAGGTAACCACACGTCACAGGAAGGGGCAGTACAATAGGCATACACATTCTAGGAAGGGGATGTACAATGGGCATAGGCGTAACAGGAGGGGGTGAGTTAGGGGTGTGCACATAGGAATGGGAGGGACTAGAGGTATACCTGTGACAAGATGGGAGGACCCTAGATTCATGATTGCGGACTAACCTTGGTCATCCTTGGGTGGGCTTGACCTTTCAGGCGTTTCCTACAAGGAAACAGATTGACTACTATCCTTATCAGAAGGGAGTTAGTGGGCCCTATTTGTGGGATAAACAGTGGTGACTGCTTGTGCTAGATGGCTGATAACCCTTAGGGAAAATAACCCCTGATCTACTCCTGATGACCTCCAAGTGTATAGTCATTTGCAGCAGCAAAGTTTGGCATATATTTGGGGGAGACAACTTGGGAGAACTCCTGTTTCCCACAACTGTCAGCACCTACTCCATGAGTTTTTGTTTATATTCAGTGACAGGGGTACCATCTCTTCCAAAGGGTTGGAAAGCTCTTGGGCAGTTCTGACCAAACACTTTACCTGGCCAGCCCAGCCATCCATGTCAGAACATCCTGAAGAAGCTATACCTTAGGCCAATTGGGGCTGGTGCTCAGCTCAGGTCCAAACAAACAAACAAGCTCCACAGCCAGGGTTTCTGAAAGGTACATCTTCACAGGAGCAGGGAGTCTCCTCTTTCCACCAAGCAGCTGCTGGTGGTTTCAAACTGCTGGCCTTGTGTTAGCAGCCCAACGCAGAACCACCGTCACCAGGGCAGAGGTACTCCATTCAGATTACAGCGACTACATCCCATTCCTTTAAGTCGGTGTCAAAATACAGAGCTTTGGAATCTGTGGCCTGTCTGGGTGAACACTTCCTTTGGGAAAGGAGCTAGCAGCTAGCACCCCGCCACTTGAACTCTGCCTGAACTGCTTTTGTTTTGAGATGGCTAAGGCCTCGAGGAGACAGGACCTGGCATGTTCCCGTAAGCCAGACTTGCGCACACAAAGGATGACTGTTCTAGGAGTTTGTCCCTAGTCCCCTCAGACCCTTAAAGACATGTTCTCATCCAGCCTGCCCACCATTTGAAACATCTGACGGCCGAGGATCAGACTGTCCACCAACTACCCTCTGACAGAGGTCTTGCTGCATCTCTGGAGGTTGTCGGCCATCTTCCAGCGTGTCCAATCTTGAGTTAGACTAGCAATGCTCAATGTCTGACCCCGTTTGTGGTGTGCTAGTAGGACACGTACCTGAACCATAGCCACAGTATCAGTTGGGTTTTCAATCTCTATAGGCCCTGTGATGTTAAAAACACACTTGGAAGGGTTTGGAAGTGAGTTTACTTCAGTTCTTGGATTCTTAAGGTTTTTGCTTTGGAAGACATGACCTCACCAAGCTACAAATAAAGCCTCAGGCTGGATTGGTCAATTGAGTAAGAATTTTAATCAGTCAGGAGGGGCACCCTCCCTGCCACTGCATAGTCACTTATGCTCCCAGCACAGCCATCACCGGGTGCTTCATTCCCCCTGTGCTATCACCCAGAGACCCGTTGTCTCTCCATTGGCAAGAGGAATGCTGGCTGGCCCCTCTTCTGAGCCTTCTTCAATATTCTAACAAGCAAACCGGAAGAAATAGTTCCAACCTACCAATCCTACAAAGTCAAGTAGGCCCATCCTGTTTTTCTAGTTACTTAGGATGCCAATGAGTACTTTGGAGTGGGGGCTGGGGGCTGGATGTGGCTATAGAAGAGAAGGGATTTGGATGCAGATTATGTCCCTTTATTTCCTGCTGCCTTGGGAGACCTCCCACTCTTAAGAGTCTGTTCTACCTATGCCAGGCCCAATCTAAGAGGAGTGGATCCGAACCAGAAAGCAGCTGGACCACTGTTAGGCAATGCCACAGAGCAAGAAGAGCGGGTGGCTCTGGAGTTGCACTACACAGCCTGCAGGCTAGGAATAACTCCCATCTGTCAAACGAGAGCCATGCTACTCAGACCACCAGGTTACCGAGCAATTAATACAGCATGGTACATAGAACACTTTTACTTTGGGGCAGCGGTTCTCAACCTGTGGGTCACAATCCCTTTGGGGGTC